TAAACTGATAAACACCCGATATTTTGTGACTAACTATTTTCACCAATTTCTGGCTGTGTGATGTTGGTTCTTAATTTTTGTATGAAAACCACAAACTTGTGGGCAAAGGGTTTTTTCTGCAAGGTTTCTCAACAGGGGTTTCAATTTTTAACATTTAATGAAAAAAATGCAAATTAAGACGCTATTTACCAATCCATACCTGGCAAAAAAAAAAAGAAAAAAAAAAAACAAGTAAGGAAAGAATACTGTTGAGACCTGCAGAAACCCTGCCACAGTTTGTGTTTCATACAAAATAAGAACACATCACACAGCAGAAATTGTGTGAAAATAGTAGTCACAAAATATCAGGTATTAGTATATGGTATTGCTCTGAGCGTAATGGCCTACTACTACTGCTGTTGCTGATGACGTTCTTTATCCCCGGTCTCCAGCCGATATTTCAGCAGGGCCTTCACCATCTGGTCCAAACAGAACAAGTTCACACCGACGTTCATCACCAACCTGATCTCACACACTGAGGCAGATCACGCTGCCGGGGCCTGGCTGCTGCTCTCCAAGGTAGTCGCTTCGTCCCCCGTACTGCCCTATGGCAAGATCCTGGATGCCTGGGACAACATGCTCAGGTGAGAGGGACACACAGTATTTGTTTTTTTTAAGCTCAGAGTACAGTGTTGTTAGACACTAACACATTTATTTTTATTGCAGCTTTCACATAAGAAATTCTGCTCAAAGTGCTTTACAACAAATTACAAGCACCGAGTGCTTCACGTGAAAAGATGGAAAATAAAACCCAGTTATATAGATAATAGTAAAATAAAAATGAGGAATGCATAACATAATGGAAAATACATAAAACCCACTGAATAATAATAATGAGAATAAAGTTAAAAGAGTGAAAATCAGGTGACACATTTTAAAGGGCATAGGTGTGAAGCCAAGAGCAAAAAAAAGTGTCAGGTTTGTATCAGGAAAGTCATAGCTAGTTAAAGTGGACCCATTATGCTAATTTCCATTTCTATATTCTCAGTGTGAGACTCCACTAGAGTAGCTTCACATGATTCACTCGTCAATGAGCTATTAATGACTTTCACTCACACATGGTGAGAGCATAATAACAGTCTATGGTTGACTAAAGGGCCAATTCAGACCAAACCGGTTGTTGCTACAAAAACATCCCTTTAGACTAAATGGAAAAAAATGCAGTGACCTGTTGATGGAGAAGTTGAAACGGAATCAACTTTTAGATAAACGTATCCCGATGCATGCTGCAGACCGGTCAAACTGCTCCACAGTTGGCCTGAAATATCACTGAAACAGCCAGACTTTCCAGAGTTTATGGACCAACACATTATTATTAATGTTATTAAATTTGCTTACCCAGCTTCAACGTCTGTGTTTGGCTGCAGTCTATGCGGCAAAATAGTACTACCAAGAAATTTCCTTTGGTTTGTGTCTGCTTGTTTGAGCAAGAGAGAAGCAGCTCTATTTGAGCTACACAGACAGCGAATGACAGAGAGAGAGAGCCCCAGTCAGTCGGGGAAATAAAAGCCTGAAGCACAAATAAACACACCCACATAACTCTCATCACTCCTTGCTCCTTAGCTTTTCACATCCTGACGGTTGGAAAAAACACAGCTGAACCTCATAACTTCATTCATTCACCTGTGGAGATATCAGGGACTTTATGCAGCAGCTGAGCATCAGATCCCCTCCCTCCCTCTCTCCCTCCCTCCCTCCCTGAATTCCCCTACAGAAGGAT